TTCCCTGCCGGTACGAGACTTGAACCCGCAACCTTTGGGTTACAAGTCCGACTCTCTAACCATTAAGCCACAACTTCCCCTTTTGACTTTATAACTCGCAATTCTGATTTCATAACTCGCACTTGCGAGTTTATATAACGCAATTCTGACTTTATAACTCGCAATTCTGATTTCATAACTCGCACTTGCGAGTTTATATCACGCAATTCTGACTTTATAACTCGCAATTTTGGCTTTATAACTCGCAATTCTGATTTCATAACTCGCACTTGCGAGTTTATATCACGCAATTCTGACTTTATAACTCGCAATTTTGGCTTTATAACTCGCAATTCTGATTTCATAACTCGCACTTGCGAGTTTATATCACGCAATTCTGACTTTATAACTCGCAATTTTGGCTTTATAACTCGCAATTCTGATTTCATAACTCGCACTTGCGAGTTTATATCACGCAATTCTGACTTTATAACTCGCAATTTTGGCTTTATAACTCGCAATTCTGATTTCATAACTCGCACTTGCGAGTTTATATCACGCAATTCTGACTTTATAACTCGCAATTTTGGCTTTATAACTCGCAATTCTGATTTCATAACTCGCACTTGCGAGTTTATATCACGCAATTCTGACTTTATAACTCGCAATTTTGGCTTTATAACTCGCAATTCTGATTTCATAACTCGCACTTGCGAGTTTATATCACGCAATTCTGACTTTATAACTCGCAATTTTGGCTTTATAACTCGCAATTCTGATTTCATAACTCGCACTTGCGAGTTTATATCACGCAATTCTGACTTTATAACTCGCAATTTTGGCTTTATAACTCGCAATTCTGATTTCATAACTCGCACTTGCGAGTTTATATCACGCAATTCTGACTTTATAACTCGCAATTTTGGCTTTATAACTCGCAATTCTGATTTCATAACTCGCACTTGCGAGTTTATATCACGCAATTCTGACTTTATAACTCGCAATTTTGGCTTTATAACTCGCAATTCTGATTTCATAACTCGCACTTGCGAGTTTATATCACGCAATTCTGACTTTATAACTCGCAATTTTGGCTTTATAACTCGCAATTCTGATTTCATAACTCGCACTTGCGAGTTTATATCACGCAATTCTGACTTTATAACTCGCAATTTTGGCTTTATAACTCGCAATTCTGATTTCATAACTCGCACTTGCGAGTTTATATCACGCAATTCTGACTTTATAACTCGCAATTTTGGCTTTATAACTCGCAATTCTGATTTCATAACTCGCACTTGCGAGTTTATATCACGCAATTCTGACTTTATAACTCGCAATTTTGGCTTTATAACTCGCAATTCTGATTTCATAACTCGCACTTGCGAGTTTATATCACGCAATTCTGACTTTATAACTCGCAATTTTGGCTTTATAACTCGCAATTCTGATTTCATAACTCGCACTTGCGAGTTTATATCACGCAATTCTGACTTTATAACTCGCAATTTTGGCTTTATAACTCGCAATTCTGATTTCATAACTCGCACTTGCGAGTTTATATCACGCAATTCTGACTTTATAACTCGCAATTTTGGCTTTATAACTCGCAATTCTGATTTCATAACTCGCACTTGCGAGTTTATATCACGCAATTCTGACTTTATAACTCGCAATTTTGGCTTTATAACTCGCAATTCTGATTTCATAACTCGCACTTGCGAGTTTATATCACGCAATTCTGACTTTATAACTCGCAATTTTGGCTTTATAACTCGCAATTCTGATTTCATAACTCGCACTTGCGAGTTTATATCACGCAATTCTGACTTTATAACTCGCAATTTTGGCTTTATAACTCGCAATTCTGATTTCATAACTCGCACTTGCGAGTTTATATCACGCAATTCTGACTTTATAACTCGCAATTTTGGCTTTATAACTCGCAATTCTGATTTCATAACTCGCACTTGCGAGTTTATATCACGCAATTCTGACTTTATAACTCGCAATTTTGGCTTTATAACTCGCAATTCTGATTTCATAACTCGCACTTGCGAGTTTATATCACGCAATTCTGACTTTATAACTCGCAATTTTGGCTTTATAACTCGCAATTCTGATTTCATAACTCGCACTTGCGAGTTTATATCACGCAATTCTGACTTTATAACTCGCAATTTTGGCTTTATAACTCGCAATTCTGATTTCATAACTCGCACTTGCGAGTTTATATCACGCAATTCTGACTTTATAACTCGCAATTTTGGCTTTATAACTCGCAATTCTGATTTCATAACTCGCACTTGCGAGTTTATATCACGCAATTCTGACTTTATAACTCGCAATTTTGGCTTTATAACTCGCAATTCTGATTTCATAACTCGCACTTGCGAGTTTATATCACGCAATTCTGACTTTATAACTCGCAATTTTGGCTTTATAACTCGCAATTCTGATTTCATAACTCGCACTTGCGAGTTTATATCACGCAATTCTGACTTTATAACTCGCAATTTTGGCTTTATAACTCGCAATTCTGATTTCATAACTCGCACTTGCGAGTTTATATCACGCAATTCTGACTTTATAACTCGCAATTTTGGCTTTATAACTCGCAATTCTGATTTCATAACTCGCACTTGCGAGTTTATATCACGCAATTCTGACTTTATAACTCGCAATTTTGGCTTTATAACTCGCAATTCTGATTTCATAACTCGCACTTGCGAGTTTATATCACGCAATTCTGACTTTATAACTCGCAATTTTGGCTTTATAACTCGCAATTCTGATTTCATAACTCGCACTTGCGAGTTTATATCACGCAATTCTGACTTTATAACTCGCAATTTTGGCTTTATAACTCGCAATTCTGATTTCATAACTCGCACTTGCGAGTTTATATCACGCAATTCTGACTTTATAACTCGCAATTTTGGCTTTATAACTCGCAATTCTGATTTCATAACTCGCACTTGCGAGTTTATATCACGCAATTCTGACTTTATAACTCGCAATTTTTACTTTATAACTCGCAATTCATTTTATAACTCGCAATTTTAGCTATAACTCGCAATTGCGAGTTTATATCACGCAATTCTGACTTTATAACTCGCAATTCTGACTTTATAACTAGCAATTTTGACTATAATTCACAATTCTGACTTTATATCACGCAATTTTGACTTTATGACTCGCAATTCTGACTTTATAACTCGCAATTGCAAGTTTATATCACGCAATTCGGACTTTAACTCGCAATTGTGACTTTTTAACTCGCAATTCTGACTTTATAACTCACAATTCTGACTTTATAACTCGCAATTCTGAGAAAAAAAAGTCAGAATTGTGAGATAAAAAGTCGCAATTACCTTGTTTTATTTTTTATTTAGTGGCGGAAACGGGCTTCCATAATAAAGAGATATAGATGGCTTTATTTTTTCAATAAGTGCTATATTTTATCTCACACAAAACAATAAGGATCTAATTAAGAGTTACTTAAAAAGATAAATTCACATGAAATACAATTAATAAAACTAGACGCAGCCTAATTTACATAACTTTGGTAAAAACAGTAATGCACTGCTGCAGGAAATACTTAAATAAAATAAAATAAAAAATGCAAATATATTTGTTTGAACCGTGAAATGTCACATAAAATAAATGACTATTAAATAATCAAATAAAAAAAAGAATAAATGCAAAATAATAATAAATATAATACATTTGTAATAATACTAAATGCAATAAAACTGTAAAATAAAATAATACAAAATAAAAATTCTATGCTAGTTACCAAGTTGCTGACCATCAAAACCTATTGTGTGAAGCTGGTCGACCAGCATGGATTTTGCTGGTTAAACTAGTTAGAACTCGAGCATTCTATGCAGTCTCCAAATCACAGCATATTCTAGTGTCTAATTTATCTGGTCCTTTAAAGGACAGTGACCCAGATAATTCAACACAAAACAATGTGCAACTCACAGACAGATAATGAAGACTGCAATTCATTCAATAACTGAATTCAAACAGTGTAACTAGTAGCAACCCAGACCACACAACAGCAGACTCACCTCGACCTCCTCATAGCTGCTGGGAAACTTCCTCTCCTCGAAGATGAGTACATGATGTCTGATCCACTGGAGAAGAACGGTGACCAGCTCGTAATACTCCTGCCAGCGCAGCTCCAGCTCCTGCAGCCGGGAACAAAACCACACAAAAACTATTCAGAAAGGAACAGGAAAGCTCTTTTGCCACTAAGTCACTTACCACATTCACTCAATTAGGTGTCAACAGTCGTAGCCTTGTCTGAAAACAGCATATGAAGGGAGGGACGAATCAAATACAGGGGCTTATTTATCGATAGTTTGTGACACAGCTCACAGATCATCTAACTCTCTTCTCATAACAGATGCTGATGGAGTGAAGGAGGAATGAAATAAACTGCCTCTGACAGCAGCTGGATGCTGTTATATAAGCGCAGATGGCAGAGATCCAGATCACACAACATCTATTACCTCTTCAAGTTTATATTCTTAACCTTTTATCCTCCTTAAAGGTGTAAACAAGGACGTGGAAGAGGAGCCTTCTGTCATTTTGTAACCCCAAAGAGGGTCAAAAAGGGTCATGATTCACCATACTTGAATGCTTGCAAATGAATTTGTAAAGGATAAATGTTCATTTAATTTTGTGCCTTTTCTTAACAAAGCTTTTTTACACTGTTAAAAGGTAAAAGGTTATTTGTTGGCATTGATGGTTCCAAGAAGAAACTTCAACATCCATGGAACCTTTTCATTGCACAAAAAGTTCTTTGTACTGGAAAAAGGTTCTTTAGATTATTAAAATATTCTTCACTCTAAGAACAAAAATGGTTCTTTTAAGAACTGTTCACTGAATGATTCCTTAGGGAACCAAAAATGGTTCTTCATCTTTTTTTAAAGAGACATCTTGGAATATAGTCCAAATAATCCATTGTCTACTGTTAATAGAGCAGAGAAGTATGAAGCACAGAATGCACAAAAGTCACTTTCAAACCAAGCATCTTTCTGTTGATGATTTTGCATAACCAACTTTGCATGAGCACAACCTGTGTGGGGAACGTTTCGTCTTCACACAAAACTCCAGATTGTTTGGATTTCTATTGAAGTAACTGGATTTTGCTCATGAAATTTCTCTGAGCAACAGTAAATGTGACCGCACCTTTGGTCCCCATTCACTGTAACTGTATTGAAAAGAGCAGCATGAACATTCTGCTAAACTTCTCCTTTTGTGTTGCACGAATGAAATAAAATCATGAGGTCTGGAATGCGTTTCTGAGTACATGACGATCATCTTGTCATTGTCAGAGAGACTGGACACTGATGCTATTCAGTAGTAGTGTGGGAATTTTCACAGGCAGGAAACCTTAAGTAACCTCATTCATATAGTTTTATTAGATTTGGTTCGACGGCATATTAACTGGACTATGTGCTGACTGCCTAAGTCTGGAACTGGGTTGTTAAGTGGAAATTACGTCATATTGAAATGATGAGGGAAATACTCACATTGGCTTTGACGCCGTCCTGGACGTCTGGGATACGGGGCATAGCGTCGTAAAGGGAGGACACATAGGTGATGATGGACTTCTCATCAGGATGAGGCACATCCACATCTGCAATGAAAAGAATTGTAGATTAATAAGCGTTCATCGTTTCATTCAGCATGTTCAATAAAGAGATGAAAAAGAGATGCTTTGTTTAAGCAGACTGCATTTGTCTACTGCAACTTCATGGAAGATCAGATCAAATTTCAATCAAACAATTTGGATTTAATCAACATGAAAGGCAAACTGTGAATATATATTTTTTTCTCTGTTGTGATGTTAAACAGGTAAAATGTAAAAAAACAAAAAATCAATTTTGTCCATCAGGAATTGATTAGTTTAGTTTGACTGTTTTCGTTTGCTAATTGCTGCAATCTTGCGCAAATCAAATCAAATAAGTTAACGTTTTTAATAAAGACAAGGGCACAAGCATTTTAAAAAACATAAAAAACATAATTATGTGGATGGATAAACCAGGCATAATAAACACTGTAATAGTCATGTAAAGTCAAAGGGGGTCACATACTTTTGACACTTTTCAAATGTCAAAGGATTGTAAACACAAAGAAAGATCAACCTACCGTGTTACATTTAATCAGGATTTAGCTCCAGTACTAGGTGTTAATATCTAATAACTTTCTTAAATTTAACATTACCCTCTGGGTCAAGCAGTCGTGTGACCCCAAGCTCTCGCTCTGCCACTGAAAAGGCCTGTTCCAGGTTCTCCAGATTGGATTGGCGGTACACCTTCCCCATGTCAATAAACCTGGGCCTGGTGAAATCAAGAGAAACAAAACCATCAGCCTCAGGAAGTGTGTAATAAATGCAGCATACTGTAAAAAGTTAAATCACTGGATCACTGAACAAAAACATGCATTGCAAATGCAATCCAATGCATAAAAAATGCAAACACTTTACGATAAGATCACATTATGCCTAACATTAACTAAACAATACCAATATATTAGTTACAGTTCATGTTACCTCCGGTCCATCAAAAACATTAACAGATACAACTTTTGATTTCAATAATGTATTATTAAATATTGAACATGAACTAAGATTAATAAATGCTCATGAAGTATATTTCAGTTTTAGTTTGTGCAACTAATGTAGTTAATGTTAACAAATTGAACCTTACGGTACAGTGTCACCAAAACAAAAATGTTTAATGAAATCAGAATGAGAACATTTTGCTTCTATGGAGTCAGTGGATTTGAATATTGCACAATATAATAAGTATAAATGTTGCTTGATACTAGAGGATATAATGAGTTCAGAGACGCAGTTGAAGTGACCACCTGCTCCATAAATCCAAATAACATCTGTCTCCTGAGGGATGGAGCCATAACTCACATGCCATGAATACCCAGAGATGGGAGCGGCTCCAAACAACAGAGGGCGAACAAACTATACACATTTACACCGAATTATTAAAGCATCGAAACCACCATAAAAAGTGTTAAAGTGTGATAAATGAAGCAAGCACCCAGGCATCTCTGTGAAATGTATGCTGGAAGGCATGGCATAAAATTCTCCAGCGTGGTATTGAACGTCTGCCACCATGCTCCGATCGTCCGTCCCGAAGCCTCCATGGATCTGCCTCAGGTCTCTCTCTGGTAAATAGCCCACTGAGCTCCAGTCCGGCCCGTATCCCGTCTGAGAGTCTCCGCTGGAGCGAGCGCCTGGACTCTGGGAGCCACGGCCGGAGTCCAGGGAACTCTCGGAGGGAATATCCTCGCACAGCATGACCACATGGTCCTCCACGTCACTCGCAGAAGCCATAGTGCTGCTGGAGCTGGCCCGACGCTTCTTAAATGACAGACGCCTCTTCAAGTTGAGCATCATCGTGGCCCAAAATGTGCTTGCACGCAAGGCAATTCCAAATACAGCATACAGTTCTTGCAATTCCAAAAATCAATATCTCCTCTAGTTACTCTTCAGTTTCTCAAAATGTGTTTCCAGAGAGCTCCAAAAAAGAAAGCAAACTGTACTTGCAGTGTTGTTTTCTGTCATGCAGGTGCTGCCTGTAAAAGCCTCTTCCTCATTTCTGAAAGGAGGCAGATCTGACAAATCCTATGGGTGTTCCTGGCTGACAAAAGCATCAAATCCTCTCTCTTCGTGTCAGGGTCAGTTGGGCGTTCCCACGCTTTGCAGGTACATGTCAACGTTTCAGAAAAGCTGCCCTGCGGGGAGGCCTGTCTCCACTCCGACAGGCACCACACCTCACGGTATTTGTCTTTCAGCCTTCATTGTACATTTCTTATAAAACTATTTTCTCATTCATTCTCTTCTTGCTCTCTTTTGTCCTCGCGTCTGCATACAGAACACACCCTCATTACAGAAAAACAGCTTTCATTTGGCCTGGATCTATGTGGCATGTGTAGACGGTTGTTTCCCGCTTACAAAAAACTGTATCATTGATTTAATTGATGCTCATATCGTTCCAAACCCATGTGGAACACAAAAGAAGATATTTTTAATAGTCTACATGCTACTCTTTCCCATGCAATAAAATCAGTTTGGGTCACCAAGCTCCAAAAACTAAAATTGCATTAATCTATTTTAGCTTTTAAAACTGCTACTTACTGACTTTTACATCTTCTTACTTAAAACATCCTGACTTAAATCTATTAAATCTACTTTCTAGTGAGACTTTGTCAAGCCAACATAAACTTTGTCTGGACAAACTTTTTTATCTAGTCGTCCTCTGCTATAGTTCTCAAATCTCATTTACATTCGCATACATTTGAAAATGATGTGTCACAGTGCATCTAGTACATCTCATAACTGTTTCTTGAGCTCGACAGCCCATTATAACCATATACCACTTTATATTCAAGAGCTACTCATAAACTCTGCATGATATCTCCTTTTGTATTCATCAAAAAAGAAATGTCAATAACACTTAAAGGCTTTATGTGAAAGGCATTATAAAAGTTTTCATAATGCATGTTGTAATGCATTACATTTTTTTTTCATAATTAATTGCAACCAAAATGAAAATGCATTATAATATTTGAAGGTTTGTTTGTTATGAGTTGTAATGCATTATACTTTCTAAAGGTGAAACAATAAATAGATAAATATTGTAATGTATTATAGCTGTGATTACATTATTAATGAGATCATGCAATTCATTGTTAAGTGCATTACAAGGCATTATTAATGCATTAAAACTTTTACAATGCATTTTATATATATATATATATATATATATAAAGGTAAAGTGTTACCAAAAAGACCTTTAGTTTAAAATATTCAAACTTCAAAGGCTGATTAAACTCCACAAGAATAAACCGTCAGTGGTGTGCACAGCGCTGATTTGACACATCTGTGCTCAGGGCATTTATCTCCACAGAAATATGCGCTGAATTCATATCAGAACATTTCACTCCATGGCATCAAGGACAAGTTTGATCAAGAGTGAAGCGTTTCTATATTCCAACATTGCTAAAAGAAAGCTGTATTTTGAGTAACTATCAGACTATTGATAAACATTTCAAGAAAATATCAGGAAACACCAAAAAAAAAAAGGATGAATTCTGTGACAATGCACTGGTGACTACTACTACTTTAGACTTTTACAAGCCAAACCCCAATCTTGAGATGTAGTACAGAGGCACTTACTCATGTTTGTGTATAACAGCGTTGAAGAGCTTTCCGTCCCTCCAGCTAGTGGTGAAGTTATCGCAGCGGATACCAGAGTAACCCTCCACCATCCGCTGAGACCAGAGGAGCAGCTTCTCCTTCGCTGACATATCATCTGACTGACCGTTCACCTGGATATCTGAAATCTGCCAGCCCAGAAAAATGAGTTGCATGGATTTAATAACATGTGGCAGCAGTAGCCATATGTTCATCATATGCAAATCAATAAATAATCAAAGTGGTTGATTTCTCACACAAATTTCAGTCATGCACTACAAACAAACTCAGCCCCACTGAATACCATTGACCTCCTAAAACCCCTCTGAGACCCGTCATTAGACTTAATCCATGAACAAGTGCAGCAAAAACAACGCAGTTCATTAAAGAAAAATCCAAGCTTGGAAATTGGTTCACTGTCAGTGTTGGGTAAGCTATATATTTAAACTGCAGCTTGCCGAGCTATAAGCTGCTCAGTTTGAAGCATTTAAACAACAGTATCTGCCAAACAACAATGAGGATCTCAAATAGAAAACGTGCATTTTTAGATTACTCGTAGTTAATAAAACAAGCATTAAACTAGATACTGTATGTATTTGACTACAAAAAAGGACAAAAGATATACTTCTGGCAACATTGACCGATGTAGTACAGTTGCTTTTAGTTACTCACAAACACTGTTTTAAGGCTTCGATTTTAACAAATTATGGTGACTAAATGTCCCAGATTATCCTGGACGGTCCTGGGTTCATGGGTTTCATGTGTCCCAACATTTCACAAAAAAATTAAATAAAATAAATAAATTACATAAGTGCCAGCTTGATGTTTAATGCAGGATTCTGTTTAGAATTTGGGGAAACTCAATAGAACATGATAAAGAGGCTAAGGAAAAGGGATGAAACACTCTAGACTTAAACTACTGTAAACTTAATTTTGAGGAAATCTTTTAGAAATAGTGTTTTTCTATACTTATTTAAACAATCATTGAATCATTTTTAATGTCAGTCAGGATAGAAGACAAGCTCATGGGAGGTTGCAAAACCTCAATAAAATTTCAAGCAGAAGCAGAAATTTCAAGCAGAAGAAACCCTGGTCACGAGACTATTTTCGGTCAGGCTACCTCCATAAAGAGAAAGCTCTTTTATTTCTTGAGGAGGTGGGCAGAAGTTCATACGCCACATCTCTACATATACCTCTGTGTCGCTGTTGAATGAACCAGAAGTCCTGCCAACTTATTTGATCAATCCAAAGAAATTAAATTCCCTCAAACAATGGAAGGACACATCGGCTGAATGTGTGACAGTCTCCTGGCAGCTGTAGTTTAATTGTTTGAGGTGGAATAAATCAGGGTGTGGTTGTAATTGAACACCTTGAACAACAGATTCACATAATTCAGATCTACAAAACAGCATGGATATTAGATTATGAAATTAGATTAGATCAAAGTCTCTCAATTCCTCATGGCGCCTAAGACACTGAACAGATTTATGTAGAGAATCAAACAAACTGCATCATTTTAACATTCTACGACTGTTGTGGTTGATCATAATGGATATTCCTGATTAAAGGAGATTATTAAAAAAAAAAAAGCATGTTATTGCATGAGGCAGATACTGGTCTGAAGCAAAAACGATTGACCCTATTGATGTTTGATTGGAAACCGATGACACCCAAAGAATTAAATGAACCAGTGATTGACCCAGACTGAAGTGATTGATCAAACTGATCAGGAGCCCAGGAGGAGGAGGAGGTAAATGGTACGGGAACTCAACACTGACAGAACAGGAGACCTGGAAGTGCAGGATGATGGTCCATATGAGACCCAGCGTCAGCTTTGGGTTCCCGTCTGCAATGTCATCGTTCCTGATATTCACCAGCTTGACCTGTGATTTACAGAGAAGGACAGCATTTCACATTTGAGACACTGTCTCAATACTCTATGATTTGCTTTTTCCATGAAAACACTCAAGGAGGCACTTAAAGCAAAATGTCTATGCTGCTCTTTTCCCCACTAAGACGACTGAAGATACACACATTTTCTAGATGGCTTTTTCTAATGCTTTGATGGTCAGTTTTGTTGTGACCAGACAGCGGTTCCAATTAACTTTAACTTCATGTAAGAAAGCAGCTTGGACATTCTGCTAAACATCTCCTTTGATAATCCACGGATGAAAGAAAATACACAGGTTTGGAAACCAACGAGGTTGAATAAGGACAGTAAGGACAAATACAGAGTTCTGGCATGAAACTCTAGATGGTGCAGTCTGATAGGTCTAACTCAATCTGACCTAATGACATCATTATCACATGGCACAGCTGATTGGTTCTTTCCTGTATCGGTAGCCAATGAGCTCGCTGCTCAACATTCAAATATATGACTAGTGCTTGCCGTAGCAGTCAAATACATTAACATTGTCATGTACATTACCATGCCAATCCCTCCGAGAGTTGTCATGACAGAACTATAATTTTTGGACATACTATCCTTTTAATGTAGTTTGTAAGTTGTGTTGTTCTCGTACCTGCCGGTGTCTGAGGAAATCCAGTGCTATCTGCACATTCTGCAGTTTATTGGTTCTTTCCTGTATCGGTAGCCAATGAGCTCGCTGCTCAACATTCAAATATATGACTAGTGCTTGCCGTAGCAGTTGCAGCTTGCTTCAGAAACCCTCCACCTTCCCCAGCTCCACCTGTATAGATCTGCTACGAGGTGATTCATGTATGCTATATGGGGGGTATTTCATGTATGTTATATTTGCAGCAGCAGTATTTCTTACATGCTCACAGCAGCATGTTGTGGATGTATTGGCAGTAGCAAGTCTCGGTACTTGCTCTGCCGCAGAAGCAGCGTAGCAGATCTATTCCGCCAAGACCAAATACATTAACATTGTCATGTACATTACCATGCCAATCCCTCCGAGAGTTGTCATGACAGAACTATAATTTTTGGACATACTATCCTTTTAATGTAGTTTGTAAGTTGTGTTGTTCTCGTACCTGCCGGTGTCTGAGGAAATCCAGTGCTATCTGCACATTCGGCAGTTTGTGGAATCGCATGCGTCCTCTCTCACGAGGCTGTGGAGACAGACAGAGGGGGAATAAGACACATAACATTGTTTAAAGAAGAGACGAGACTGAGACGTGTCCTTGAGTGCCCAGAGAAACTTCTTTGGAAGGTCTAAATGAAGAAATAATGAAGAACAAGGAGGACCTGGCTGTGAGGCTACAATATTTATGAACACTAATAATGCAAAGAAAAGACATTAAAGACCCCATGAAATCAAAATGTTTAGTCTATGCCTGCTAGCATTGAGGACATCTGTATGCTAGGTGACAGAAAAACTAAATCTGCATTTAAAATATACATTTTTGATATTCTGATTCATGTTGTGATCAGGAACATATACAAATTTGTGTCCAATAAGCTCCACGCAAGAATGAGCATGTTCCCTAAATAAATAATACCTGCTTTGATATGCCAAGCCCCAATTTCCTGTTTCAATACGTCAACACAGATCATGCAAAAAAATTAAAATTAAACAAACAAATAAATAAAATGCATGTTGAGTCACTTCATGGGGTCTTTAAGCTTATTTGACAGAAGTGATGGTCTTGTCGCTTTAGGGACGTAATGTGGTATAATATTGTGGATGAATGCTAAATAACTACTGAATGCTAAAAAAAAACTTTCTGTATTATAGGAAACAACCCAAAACATTTGACTCCCCAAACACACTCCAAGAGTTTGCAGACATCATTTTGTGACCTGAACAACTTTAACTTAAAAAAGCATGTCTTGCACAACTTATAATCAGTTATATATTGCTTCACAATAAATGTGGATTTATTTGGCAGTCACTTAGATATCATTAATTCGCTATATCGGTCACACACCCAAACTGTGACGAGGTTCAGATAGATGGTGTCATAAAGAGAAACAGCATCAGTCATGCGCAAGCGGAGGCTACTATAATGTTATTTAGAACAGTCAAATTTCAGAATAAAAGTCCCTCAAATTAGAAGCAAAAACATGCTTTATTAAGACAGCAATGCTGTTTTTGATCTTAAATCTTTTTTATTTATAAATCTTAAACAAGTCTTTCAATATTGTTGTATAAGAGTAAATGAAACTGCTACTGTAATGCTATTCCTAATAGTAAACTTTCAAAATAAAAGTCCCAACAAATTAGAAGAAAAAACATGCTTAAGACAGTAATGTTTTTTTGCAAACGCATCTTTTAAATCTTTAAATTTAGAATTTTTAATGAAGTCTTTCAGCATTTAGCTACCAACCTGCTGAATAATTACCCTGTAATCTTTATTTTAAAGTGCCCCTACTATGGATTTTTTTTTTTAATGACCTTTCATGCAGTGTGTAACACAGCTCTAAGTGAATGAAAACATCCTGCAAAGTTTTAAATCTAAAAGTACCCCGTGCATAGAGTTATTGTCTCTCAAAAGAAAGAGTCGACTCTGAATCATTGAAACGAGTCGTTTTTAAAACGAATCCCAAGCCGTTTCATCTTGAGGTCAACATGAAACATTAGCATATTGTCCACAAAGCAGCACTGCGCTCACAAACGCTGCTTTATCAGGCATCACAGGCGAGATGAAATGAAAATGAGACCAATCGGACCAATCACTGCAGATTAGCGTCACGCAAAGGAGGGGTTTGAAAAAATGAATCATTGAGCGAATCGTTTGGGAGTCATTGAGCAAATAAGATAAAAATAAATGCATATTTTAAGACAATTAAAGTGTTTTTTGACCTTGCATGCATGTCAACCTGTTGTTGGGGACTCTCAAAACCAAAATATGGACCTTTCATTACTCATAATAGGGGCACTTTAATCAGCTGAGATACCTAGCATTTTATCGTCGTGAGACATACAGTAGCATTGAAGTAACTCTAATAACAAATGAAAACAAGACTACAGCAAGACTGGTGGACGTGACATCATGCGCAGGCCAGCCACAGTGAGTGACCCATGCCAATGAAGCATCTGCATCACTCACCAACCGCACGCTCCGCACAACGTCCCGCTCCCTCGGCTTGACCAGCAAGAGAAGTGCAAAGAGAGCAGACAGAAGTCAAAGGGCAAAGGTCAGCAAAGAGACGGTGGGATGAAAGACAGAGAAAGAGTCAAGGAGGAGCCACACAGATTCAAAAGAAAAGCCGAAGAGTGACGTTAATGTCTGAGCTAAAGCCAAGAAATGAAGCAGTTTGATGGGAAGAAGTCGAGAATTTGCCTGGAATATCTGAACCCAGTGTTTTGGGTGTGATTCAACAAAACGTGTTTCGAATTTAGAGACGTATTCCAAGGCATCACCCATTAACATGTCTTCGTTGACCTGGAGATCTGGATCAGGACTTTGGATTTGTGTGAAGGCTGAGGGCAAGGTTGGAGGTGGAGAGGTAGACTGGGGTTAGAGATGGTCTTCTCTTGACTGGCTGTTTAGCTGCATTAGTGGAGGAAGAAGTTAGGTTACACTCACCAGCGTCTCTCCGGAGAGGACCTCCAGAAGGGAGATCAGGTTATGTCCATCTCGGAGATCTTCATACAGGTCATTCACATGACGCTGAGTCTGAGGATGGAGAAAAAGCAAAGATCAGTTTATGAGAGTCACACATAAAAATAAAAAAACACATCCCTGCAGAAAGAAAATCCAACTCTGCAGTCAATTCTGAAGATTTCATTCCTCACAAACAAACACTAAACTTACAACCCCGATCTTAACTGTAGCATTGTGTTTGTAGCACATCCTGATTACCGTTTGATGCGATCAGATTCATCCATGATTTTTCTGGACGTTGAACTTTTTTTGACAGGTGACTGCGTGATTTAGTTGAATTGGTTAAATTGTCAGCAGGTTTGTGTTTTATTAGTTTGGAGGACAAAATCACGCACCTAGAATTTCCACTTTTGGTCATTTTGTTGACAACATTTTGTCATAATTCATCTATCCTCATGTATATTTTTTACGTTAAAAAAATATTAAAAAAGGCTGAGCTTCTACATTTTATTCCATTCAAGGAAAGTTAATGGTAATGCCAATCCAATCCAAGTCCTATATATTCCAACTGACTTGTCATTTGGAAATGTCACTTGAAATTCTCTGGTACATTTATGTTCTTTTTAGAGCTTGGCAGTATACATCTAGATCCAGTGTTCTTGTACAGGATAAAAACAGAAGCTTAGACATGCTGCCTACACCTAATTTTGTGTTTAAGTTTGGAACAACATGATTTTGACCAAATGATATTTTCTGGGCATCTGAAACAGTTAAGACTCCAAAACTGGGCAGCTCGAGCAGGGACTCTAAACACAAACATGCATGTCTCTTGTTAAGAGAGGAAAAAAAACCTGAATTCAAAGTGATTGATTTGCGTTTTACTCATGTCAAAAAAAGATCTGTGTCAAATGATTTACTGAGTGACAGAGTTTAAATTAAATTCTGAAGCTTTCTCCTTCTTTTCTAAATCAGCCACTCAATCATTGTACAGTAGGTTTATAAAACCTCGTTGAGTCAGATCTCAGCTTCAATAATAAAAACACAGACAGACTGGGCTTCCTCAGGTATTTATCATGCAGCTATCAATATTAACTATATCTATATCAGCTATATCAACATGCACTGCTGCAAAACACTCAAATCTCTGCAGCTCGCTTGAAAATCCTTAAAGCTACAGTTCACAGAAAACTGAGAGTTCTGTGATCATTTATTCACCCTCATGTTGTTGCAAACACATTCAAATCAGTGTTATTTTAGTACCATTGATAAATATTGCAGGATTTTTTTATATTTTAAACATTTTCTGTTTTCTATTTAATTTTAGTTAAAGTTTTAGTGATTTTGTTGTTTGCCATTTTATTTTTTTTATTTTTTTATTTATTTATTAGTAAATACATTTTTATTTATTAGTTTATTTATTAGTTTATTTAGTTATTAGTTATTTCAGCACATTGAGTACTAAATTAAAATGAGAAATGTTGAGAAATGTAGCTGAAATAAAACAAGATTTTTTTTAAATTGATTTCCATTAAC